TGTTTAATCTATCTAATAGTGTGTTGGTCAATGGTCATACTATACAATGATTTATAGCTCATAAAGAGCTTTAAAAAATAATTGCATATTAAATCGCAATCGCAATATTGGTAAAAAAAATCGCAATTAGATTATTTTCCAAAATCGTTCAGCCCTACTTCTTTCAGATGAATCCAATCTGAGTTATTTTAAAAATTGTCTTTGATCTTCCAAGCTGTTTAATAGCAGTCAGGGGGTGTTGCAGTTAATCAGTCCAAAAGAAGTTAAATAAAGCACATCCATCCATAATAAAAAAGTGTCTCACACGGCTCCGGGGGGTGAACAAAGGCCTTCTGTAGCGATTCGATGCGTTTTTGTAAGAAAAATATCCATATTCAAAATTTAATAATCACTTTAATCTAGCTTGCACCAACAGTTGTACACGGAAGCTGCTCCGGGAGCATGACGTATGAGGTCAGTGCTGCGCATGCGCTGGTGAGTCTCGTGAAAACCAACGTTTGTTAACAGGAGCAAAGAAAGCAAAGTTTCCTTACTTTAGCAAAGGAAAACCAGTCTCCTCTTGGCTTATATCGAAATCCTCTGACATTCTTCTTTACAAATCCTCGTTTTGTACTTCTAATTCTTGACCGTTGTTTTGTTTTGATCTCTCCCCTGCGCTTCCGGGTGCGTCACTTCTGAGCAGCGCATGCGCAACGCCAACCTCATACGTCATCAGCCCGGAACTGCTTCCCTTTACAACAGTGAGCGCAAGCTATATTAAAGTGATTATTACGTTTTGAATATGGATATTTTTCTTACAAAAACGAACTTACAAAAATTTTATTTTAATTTGTTAATAATTGTTTTGACATTTTTTTTATATAATTTGTGAATTTCTTTCTTTCTTTCTTTCAAGCTCCACATTTGCTGTTTGTTTGTAGGGATGCACAGGTATTTTTTATATAAGAAATGTTTCTTTCTTTGTTTCTTTCTTTCCTTTCAAGCACTAGGTTTGCTGTGTTTGTTTGTAGGGATGCACAGGGTTTTTTAATAAAAATTAATTCTCTTTCTTTCTTTCTTTCTTTCAAGCTCCAGGTTTGCTATATGTTTGTTATAGGGTTGCACAGTTTGGCCAAAATTGTTGTGATTATGTATAAATATAATTATACCATTTAAAAAAGTAAATTAAATAGTCATAGTGATATATTTACAAACTTTTTTGGCCAAACATGCAGCACATATGCAGTATTTATTCAGTTAAATGCCAATCTTTGCATTTTGATAATCACACTAAGCAATGATTTTGGTTTTATTTCTGTTTATCGTACAGCCCTACCCAGATGTGAGTATTTCTGTGTGCGTTTGTGATGCTGTGAAGATCAATGACTGCTGGGAGTGGAGACACAGGGCAGTGCTTTATGAGAAATTCATTACAGCACAGTTTCTCCTTTCTGCAAGGATGGATAAATATGAAAAAGTTGCAAAACACATGGGTTTTGCATTATATAATGGCCTAATTTTGTATTTGTGGGCTGTGCTTGTTTTTGATCTTCAATGGGAATGTGAATATAAATGCATGATTAGAAAATATTTTCTTTGGGGAAATCAGAGAAGAAACATTTAATGGGTAAATTTCACACCAGATATTAGCTATGTTTCCATCCAAAGATTTGAATTTAACTCCAACGTATCAAAGAGAACGAAATCGTCACTTCCTGATAAACTGGCACTAAATATCACTAAGAAAAGTAGGAGAAGCCACTTAATATAATTTTCATATATGATAAATTACTTGCGCCTCAGAGCGAGCAGACGCTGTCATTGCTTTCATTGTTTTTTTTTTGTTTTAGACAATTATACAGAAATTATTTTTTAGTTGCTTGTACTTGGAGGTTATGGTGTAACAAATCCAACATTAAGATGTTTTCAACCATCCATAATATTGCTTTCTCCAGTGAAAACATCATGTCATCTGAATCAGGAGAGAATTATGCACACACCGTTCATCAAACACTGTTTATAAGAGAAAATGGTCCAAAATCAGTTCTAAACAAATACATCAGTGGATTTTGATGTAAGAGGACAACTGAGGATGGACTTTGTCACTGGAGGAAGCGTTATTATGGATTATGGCCAGAAGCAAAGTTTTAAAGTTAAAACATCTTAATGATGGATTTGTTTTCTTACAAACATGCTGATGTTCACTTCACAAAACATTATAGTTAATGGAATGGAGCCATGTGGATTGCTTGTGGATTAGTGTGATGTTTTTATCAGCTGTTTGGACTCTCAATCTGACGGCACCCATTCACTGCAGAGGATCCACTGGTGAGCAAGTGATGTAATGCTACATTTCTCCAAATCTGTTCCGATGAAAAAACAAACTCTTGGATGACCTGAGGGTTCAGCATTTTCAGCAAATTTTCATTTTTTGGTGAACTACTGTATTCCCTTACGGAATCGTTACGAGTAATCAAAACTGTAGCCAAAATTCTACTTTTTTTTTTTAGTGGTTTTAGGAGAGGTCCCACCTGTCAGTTTTGCTCATCACATGTGATACAGTATATTTATAATATACGGGCCCCCAGCAGGAGCGACTGTCCTATCTCAGGAAAGATTATTTCTAATTGGGTCGAGCAATGGGGGAGCGATGCTGCCGTTTCCAAGGCAACAACTTCTAGAGAGGAATGAGTAACTGTCAACTGAGAGAGTGACAATTGTCAGTATGTATATTCAGGAGAATGGGCATTGTGTCAGCAATTTAACGGTGTTTTTATTGTTTTGTCGTTCACAGAGCACCCACCTGGCCATGATTGACACGCTGATGATGGCGTACACAGTAGAGACGGTGAGTGTGGAGAAGGTGATGGCCTGCATGCAGCAATACTCCACCGATTACCCAGACGGAGACGTGCCCTATGACACAGAGGATGCGGTCACTAGCTGGATGAATAAGGTATTTTTGTGCTTTTATGAATCTTAAACTTACCCATAATGCAATGCAAATACATTTACTGTGCCCGATCATCATCTTTTACTATCTTTTAACATAGACCGAGGTTTGTTGCACTATAATATGGCTTTAATATGTTATGATCTCTGAGGGCTTCTTTGAGTGTCGGTGAAGGGACGTCCCAGGACTTGTGTTTACATTCCCTTGCAGGCCAGCTGTACAAGCAGCCTAAATCAAGACAGTACCGCACATGTACACACACATGCTAAACAGGCCATGAGGGACTGCAGAGAAATTTCAGGGTTTTTTTTTTGGACTTCCTGCCGTAACGATATTAAATGGACATTTGAAAGAGTTTGCATGAGGGTTTTTGGTGTGTTTACATCATGCGTTTTACCATAATCTTGAGTTTCAGATTTATTCTTAAAATTTGATAATCATTTAATGAATTACTGTTGGCATAAACAATACAAGCTATGAATATATACAACAAATCAGCAAATATATATCTTAAAAATCCATTTAATTTTGTGAATAAGCAATATGTAATATAATATAATATAATATACACATTTTTGTCATAGTTACTTGATAGATTTTAATAGACTTTAAGTTAATATTTCAATAATTTAACAACACATTTGCATGTTTACAGTTATCTGAAGTTAATAGTCATGTGACATGCAGGTAAATAAATACAATATTTAATCTTTTTTAGTGTTTTTATTTATATATTTATAATATAAAATAATTTTTTACTTTTTTGTCAGCTAAACACTTTCAACCTCAAATATTTATTATTTTTAAATGATTCATTTCTTTATTAGCTTATCATAAACTCCCTGCAGTTCCCTTACAATCCCCTGTTTGGAAAAAAATAATATAATATAATATATTACATTTTTTGTCAGCTAAACACTTTCAACCTAAAATATTTACTTAAAGTATTCTGTTGTCACACCCCTTTGAACTGTTTTGTTGTCTTCATCCCTCATGTGCTCTGTTGTGGCTGCGTTTACACTTGGCATTAACATGCGATCACAGTGATCTGATCAAGCAGATCAGATCATCAGTCAATCAGGACACGGCACGTTTAAACTTGGCAACATCAGCTGACTTCTCGATCTGGATAACCCATCGGATCTGTATTTCCTGCGCAATATTTAGATAAGTCTGCGGTGCAAAGTCGACCTGAAGTGGTGGGTTTTCTTTTGAAAACTATGTTCAGTTGCGGGACATTTTACAAATCAAAATAAATGTACGAGTCTCACTAGCGCTCTATTCTTCCGACAGTTCGCGAGAGAGGGGGCGGCGTTTTGCGTGATGTTGACCTGCGATTGCAGACACGATGGCTGGATTGCGTTTACATTACACTGAGATCCGATCACAATGCGTCCTCGACTACCTCTGGACCAGGACACGCTGATCGGATAACATTCCGATCAGTAGCGGGGTTACACTTTTGTTTTCAATGTGTAGGATTTACCCTTGTGTGGATTTATTAAAGACTATTTGCATTTATCTTTATCTTCTTCGTGCGTTTATCTCACCGTAGCTGTGACAAAGTTTGGGAACCCATAATAATATAATATAATATAATATAATATAATATAATATAATATAATAATACACTTGCTTGTAGTGAAAAAAATGGCAGTGATTTTTTTAAAGTATGTAAAAACTCCTCTCTGTTTTACTCCTTTTCAAGGTGAACGAATACTTGAAAGAAATCATAATGCAGGAGCAAAGGCGGATGGAGGCGCAGAACGCAGAGCCTGTTGAGAATCCAAAGGTAAGTGTGCACTTCCTGTTCTTGCTCTAAAGCAGCGATGATTCAGAAGCCACTTTCATCTGTAGGAGGAAAATACAGAAAGTGTCAGAGATAAAGATGGATTTTTGTCATAATGAGCGCTCGTACGTCTCTGAAATCTGCAGACATTCTGCAGAAATCATGAGAACATTCTGCCCTCCAACTGCCAATTTTTTAATTTTCTATTCTTCATGCCTTAAAACTCAAATACTTGTATAGATTATTCTAAAACTCATGTATTCTGATACACTTGAATGCTGTACTGTACAATACAAGCCTGAATTACATAAATACAGTGTTGATTCACAATCTTGAACACAACAATAATGCAGAAGATTTGTGAATACTCATTGCCTAAAGATTTGTTGTTGTCATTAATATACAACAATAAGAGCTAAACAGTATTAATAAATCAATATTTTCAGCCTTTTAACGGTATTCACTATATATCTTGTTTAATGCTCAAAGTAAAATGTAGTAAAAATTTAATAAAAAATAATCTGTCCTGTTTTTTGCTACATTGACATGGATAAATAATATTAATATTTTTTGTTTAATATTAATTTATAATTAGGGGTCAACCGATTATATGCCTGGCCGATTATCGGCACCGATATTAAGCATTTTTATGGTTATCGGTATTGGTCCTTTTACAAAACCAATTTGCCGATAAAATAATTTAAAAGCATTTAGAGAAAGTTTTTGTCAGACTCCTTGTTATTCTTAATTTTGGCATTAATTTTCATTTTTACACCAGACATATATATCGGTTCAAAGCATTGTTTATCGGTTTACTTGATCTGTAATAATCGTATTGGCATCGGCCCTGAAAAACACATAGCGGTCGACCCCTATTTAATAGAATAGAATAGAATAGAAATCCCTAAACTTTTGTTAGTTCACTGCTTGTGACCTCAAATATTTACTTTAAGGTACCCTAAGATTTTAAGTTAAAATAAAATATTTCATCTTTTTAAGTGTTGTATTAGTGTTTTTATTTTAAAATGATTTATTTATTTAAATTTTACAGTTGTATGATTTAATTAATTATTAGCTTTTAATCTTTTTTTTAACATAGAAGTTCAAAAATCTCTCAAAATCTGTTTTACTCATTTTTAAGGTTAAATAATATTAACATGGCTAATTAATATCAACAATTAACATTATTTAATATTAGTTTATTACAGTTGGACTTTATATTTATATGGACCAATATAACAATATAATTTTTTTATTATTACAAAAACATGTCATGTCAGCACTTCAGACATTTTTGAGTGATGTAATGAATCAGTGTTTTGAACTGATTCGTGAAAATGGACCATTTAAAAAGACAGATTTGTGCAAATTAATCAAATTTCAAAGTTTTAAAATCCTATATTAAAATATTTCAATTGTTAAATATATATTGTAAATATATATATATTGTAAACCTATCTCCAGAACAACTAACATTATTCAGTGAATCAAATTACTCTATAGACGTTTTAAACCCCCTAGATTTGTTAGTCTATTCAGATTCTACATAAAAGGTGCCTCAGATTCCCCTGTATACATGTTTGCTAAGTTGACCTGAGTTCACAGGACGTGACAGATATCATCAGCCTTATTGTCGTGTTTTATAACATGTTGCTGGGTTGAGGGTATTTCTGACTTTGCTGAATCACAGTCTTGCGGCAGTATCCTGATGTGGACTTTCTGCCAGGCTGCTGTAAGAGCAAAATGTTTGCTGATTCATGTTTTAACGCTTCACATTCCATCTTCCTGCCCCAGTGTGACAGCGTATTTGGCACACATGACAGGTGACGTCAGTCTCACCTTGTTTTACCTTCTCTCGGAGGGAAAGTAGTGCGGTACGCTTATGTATGCTGTGTCCTTGTTTAAACCCCTAGAGACCGCAAGCCTCTGCCAAGTTCCCAGCGCTACTTTTGTAGGATTTTGTTTTTGTTTTTCCCCCCAGAATCCCATTGTTAATGTGATAATGTGAGTCTGGTGAGGGTGTGTAATGTGCAGAGTCATCACACAGAAGTGTGTGGGCCGTCTGTCAGAGTTGGCCCGCCAAGCAGCGATGATTCAGAAGCCACTTTCATCTGTAGGAGGAAAATACAGAAAGTGTCAGAGATAAAGATGGATTTTTGTCATAATGAGCGCTCGTACGTCTCTGAAATCTGCAGACATTCTGCAGAAATCATGAGAACATTCTGCCCTCCAACTGCCAATTTTTTAATTTTCTATTCTTCATGCCTTAAAACTCAAATACTTGTATAGATTATTCTAAAACTCATGTATTCTGATACACTTGAATGCTGTACTGTACAATACAAGCCTGAATTACATAAATACAGTGTTGATTCACAATCTTGAACACAACAATAATGCAGAAGATTTGTGAATACTCATTGCCTAAAGATTTGTTGTTGTCATTAATATACAACAATAAGAGCTAAACAGTATTAATAAATCAATATTTTCAGCCTTTTAACGGTATTCACTATATATCTTGTTTAATGCTCAAAGTAAAATGTAGTAAAAATTTAATAAAAAATAATCTGTCCTGTTTTTTGCTACATTGACATGGATAAATAATATTAATATTTTTTGTTTAATATTAATTTATAATTAGGGGTCAACCGATTATATGCCTGGCCGATTATCGGCACCGATATTAAGCATTTTTATGGTTATCGGTATTGGTCCTTTTACAAAACCAATTTGCCGATAAAATAATTTAAAAGCATTTAGAGAAAGTTTTTGTCAGACTCCTTGTTATTCTTAATTTTGGCATTAATTTTCATTTTTACACCAGACATATATATCGGTTCAAAGCATTGTTTATCGGTTTACTTGATCTGTAATAATCGTATTGGCATCGGCCCTGAAAAACACATAGCGGTCGACCCCTATTTAATAGAATAGAATAGAATAGAAATCCCTAAACTTTTGTTAGTTCACTGCTTGTGACCTCAAATATTTACTTTAAGGTACCCTAAGATTTTAAGTTAAAATAAAATATTTCATCTTTTTAAGTGTTGTATTAGTGATTTTATTTTAAAATGATTTATTTATTTTAATTTTACAGTTGTATGATTTAATTAATTATTAGCTTTTAATCTTTTTTTTAACATAGAAGTTCAAAAATCTCTCAAAATCTGTTTTACTCATTTTTAAGGTTAAATAATATTAACATGGCTAATTAATATCAACAATTAACATTATTTAATATTAGTTTATTACAGTTGGACTTTATATTTATATGGACCAATATAACAATATAATTTTTTTATTATTACAAAAACATGTCATGTCAGCACTTCAGACATTTTTGAGTGATGTAATGAATCAGTGTTTTGAACTGATTCGTGAAAATGGACCATTTAAAAAGACAGATTTGTGCAAATTAATCAAATTTCAAAGTTTTAAAATCCTATATTAAAATATTTCAATTGTTAAATATATATTGTAAATATATATATATTGTAAACCTATCTCCAGAACAACTAACATTATTCAGTGAATCAAATTACTCTATAGACGTTTTAAACCCCCTAGATTTGTTAGTCTATTCAGATTCTACATAAAAGGTGCCTCAGATTCCCCTGTATACATGTTTGCTAAGTTGACCTGAGTTCACAGGACGTGACAGATATCATCAGCCTTATTGTCGTGTTTTATAACATGTTGCTGGGTTGAGGGTATTTCTGACTTTGCTGAATCACAGTCTTGCGGCAGTATCCTGATGTGGACTTTCTGCCAGGCTGCTGTAAGAGCAAAATGTTTGCTGATTCATGTTTTAACGCTTCACATTCCATCTTCCTGCCCCAGTGTGACAGCGTATTTGGCACACATGACAGGTGACGTCAGTCTCACCTTGTTTTACCTTCTCTCGGAGGGAAAGTAGTGCGGTACGCTTATGTATGCTGTGTCCTTGTTTAAACCCCTAGAGACCGCAAGCCTCTGCCAAGTTCCCAGCGCTACTTTTGTAGGATTTTGTTTTTGTTTTTCCCCCCAGAATCCCATTGTTAATGTGATAATGTGAGTCTGGTGAGGGTGTGTAATGTGCAGAGTCATCACACAGAAGTGTGTGGGCCGTCTGTCAGAGTTGGCCCGCCCTGTCCTGAGGTCGTGGCTGGGCTGGGCACCTGACACTAATGAGAGCAGTCAGTTCTCAGAGGCACTGCGGACTGCCGGCTGTGTTTGAGAGACGCTGCGGACACAATCAGTGCTGACGAGGAATGTCACAACACTATAAACATCCTGAAACAGCCAGCATGACATGAAGCACCCAGACTGACACATAAACACACCAGATGAATGCAGATATGGATACTGTGTGTGAATTATAAATAATATATATATATAAAAGTTAATACAAAAAGTATATGTATTATTATTATTTTATTAAGTTATTTATTATATTTATATAATTTGGGTGGAGGTATATATATATTGTTATCATTTTATAAAAGTATAAAAGTATTTTAGGGATAGATA